CAACAACAACAACAACAACAACAACAAGTGGCTTATTTAAATACTATTTACTTGAAATGATATTCAGAAATTGGGAAAACTTTTATAGCAGTGGTCCTCAAGCTTTCTGCCACCAGGAACCAGTTTGGTGGAAGACAATTTTTCCATGGTTGGTGGGGTGAAGGGGAATGATTTCAGAATAAAACTGTTCTGCCTCAGATTATCTGGCCTTAGATTCTCACAAGGAGCTCTGTACCTAGATCCATCACATACGCAGTTCACAGCAGGGTTCATGCTCCCATGACAATCTAATGCTGCCCCTGATATGAGAGGAGGGGGAGCTCAGACAGTAAAGCTGGCTCGCCTGCCCTCACCTCGTGCTGTGCAGCCAGATTCCCGACAGGCCAAGGACAGGTAGCAGTTCATGGCCTGGGAGTTGGGAACCTGTGTTTTACAGGATACCACTCAAAGGAGTTCAAAGGGTTAGAAATCTATTCTTGTATTACAATTAAACGAATATTTGCCACCTATTAAAATAGTCTGTTATTTTCAGTTACTATGTTATAATTTATTTTCCTTTGTTTTATTTTTTGTGTGTTTGTTTGTTTTAGTATTTGAGGTATAGTCTGGTTGGGCATAAAAAAACAAAACTTGTTACATAATTATTTTTCCAACACCTTTCCTTATTCATCTATTTTCCATAAACCTTCATGTGTTAATTAAGATGCCGGCTACTGCTTGGCTCTGTGAAGGTCTTGCAGTAGCTCAATGAAAAAGCTCAATTTAATTTTTGATACCAAGAAATGTTCCCACTTTTCTATTATAGTTCATTTCATAAAATGTTGCCTTCTGATATGCATATATAGTTCTTAATTAGTCACAGAGATTTTAGTAATTGTATAAGTGCATATCAATTATTTAAAAAATATATCTATATACCTATTCATTTTTCTTCAGGGAACACTAAATAATATGGAATGTTAAAAAATGCTTTGATGATTAAGATATTCAATATGTTATCATTTATAATAATAAAGTATTGAAAACAATTTTAGGAATACAAGTGAATAAACTATAATTTATCATGCTTGAGATGCATAGATAATAACATTGCATATATTTTAAAGCACAATAATACATCGTGAAGAACTGCATGCTTACTACATGTGAAAATGCTACATATATATGAAGAAAAACATAAGGTGCAACCAAATCTTAAGAGGTTTTGTATTTTATAGTATCACCATTGGTGTCTACTCACTTCAGTATGAAAATATTTTAGCTAATGATTTTCACTTTTATACTGGCAATTATTACTTTTTAAAATAACTTGTATCCATTAAAAATACATTTTAATGATTTCACAGATGTTTTTTCATTTAAAAGTGGCTTTAAATAATATTGCTTTTTGTACATATGTTAGGATCACTGAGGATACAGCAGTTTTTGTTGTTGATATTGTTGATATTTTTTCCATATGATATAGCTTGATTTAACAAACATTCAAAATACATCATAAAAACAAAATCAGATGCATATGAAAATATCCACTTCAGCACATTTCAGGAGGCCTTCTTTTTGGGTTTCTTTGTTTATTTCCTTTTTTCTTTGTAAGCAAAAGATCCCCAAAATGTTTGAACATAAAATGCAAAATGATTTCAATTTGAGTTTTAATTTGATAATATCTCTTCTTTAATACTCACTGCATGGTAAGAGCTATGAAAACCAGAAGAAATATTAGGACACTGTATTTTAGCCTTAGGGATGTTTCTTTGTTTTGGGAGAAACACTAACACATATTAAACATAGTAAATTAGCCCCAATTCATTAAACTCATATTAGTTTTTCCTACTAAGTAAGAATCACCAGCTGTTTCTGTAAAGGATGGAAATTCCCAAACTCAGTTTCATCAAGTCTTGGGTGGGAAAAATAAACTGGTTTAACAAAATATTATTGCTGTAGTTGAGGTCGTAAAAGCTTGAGAAGCAAGATCTACCTTTATATGAATTATAGTAACTAACCATATGTCAATTAAAAAAAAATGGGGCACAGAAATGATGGAAAATGTGATATTTAGATTTGAAAGTGAGATGATAGAATTGTTTTAAGGAGCCTAGTGTGGTAAAAATTAGAGGAGCCCAAACAATCTATAATAAAATTTCTACCATAAAATTATTAAGAACTTCATAAGAAATTATTCTTAATTTTTTAAATTTTATCACTAAGACTATGTATTATTTCAGAGGACTAAATGTTTATGTCCCTCAAAATTCATATTTGAAATCTGAAACACCAATGAAATGGTATTAGAAGGTGGGTCCCATATTTGAAATCCTAAATCTCAATGAAATTGTATTAGGTGGGTACAAGAAGGTGGGTCCTATAGGCATCAAGTCATACGAGTAGAGCCCTAATGAATGGGATTAGTGCCCTTACAAAGGGGAATCCAGATAGCTCTCTCAGCCTCTCTCTGCCTGTAAGGGCACAGAAGTCAGCAGTCTGCAACTGAAAGAGGGCTCTTGTCAGAAGCCAATCATGCTGGCATCATAATCTCATACTTCCAGCCTCTAGAAATGTGACAAATAAATATCAGTTGTTTATAAGCTGCCCAGTCTATGGTAATTTTTAATAGCTGTCTGTGATGACTAAAAATTGCCTAACTCATTTGGACTTCAGATACAGGGATTACTCTTTTCCTATCAATGGGTATGATTCACTTTTTGGACATCATTGAAGTTTCCTTTTAAATTAAGCCTAAAGTCAAATTTTGAAATATTTTGTAAGTATGAGAAAGATAGCGTATTCTTTCCTGTTAAAAAAAAAAAAGAGCAAATAAAACCCAAAGCAAACAGAAGAAAAAGGAAATAAAAAGATTAGATCACAAGCAGTGAAATTGAAAGCATTGGAGTAATATAATGAAACCAATAGCAGATTCTTTCAAAATATTGCTAAAGTTTATTAATCTCTATCGAGAAAGACCAAGGGACAAACAGAGAAAGAGAAGACAAAAATTACTATTATCAGAAGTGAAAAATGGAGCACACATACTGATCCCACAGACATTAAAAAGATTATAGGGCTACTTTGAACAATTCTATGCCTATACATTTAGATGAAGTTCTTGAGAGAATCCACTAAATTTATATTAAAAGATAAATAACCTTAGCATACACACACACATATATATTTACAAACAACCATATATATACAACCACATAAATATGTACACATACACATGCGTACACACAAGCATATATATATATCACCAAAAAGTCAGTTAAAAACCTTCACAAAAACAAAGAACAGTTCTAGTAAAAATTGATGCCACTGATAAATTCTACCATATGTTACAAGCAAAGAAAACTACAGATCAAGATCCCTCATAAACAAATATAAAAATTCTTTACAAATAATTGTAACTCCAGCTATTTGTGAAAAGGAAAGTATATCCCTATCAACTGGAGTGCACCCAGGAATACAAGGATGCGTCCATATTTTAAAATATTTTCATGTAAATTACCATATTGACAGATTAAAAAAGAAAAGTCATATATCATCTCAATAGACAAAGAAAAAAACATTTGACAATATTCAAAATTAATTTATTGTAAAAACTAGCAGCACAATATGAATAGAAGGGAAGATTCTTAAACAGATACAGAGTATCTACAAAAGAATGCTGCTAATATTATACTCAATTATGGAATATTATGCGCTTTTTCCTTAAGATTGGAAACAAGGTAGCAATGTATTCTTTCACCAGTCCAAATCTATAATATTGGAAGTCCTGGCCATGCAATAAGTGAGAAAAAGAAATACAAACATACAAGCTGGAGAGAAATAATGTCGTTTTGTTTATTTGCAGATGGCTTGATTATTGTCTAGATAATTCCATAAAATTCACAAAAATGCCCAGTAATAAGTGAGTTTATCAAGGTGGAAAGATACAAGATTATTATAAATTAAACATATACTGAATAAGACCCAGCAATCCTACTCCCAATCATTTACCCAGGAAAAAAGGAAACTTTGTGTTTTGGGTTGAGTTGTGTCCTAAAGATACAAGTTGAGTCCTAACATCCAGTACACTCGAATGTGGCCTTGTTAAGAAATAGAGTGATTTTGGAGGTAAATAGTTAAGATAAGGTCATACCTGAGCAGGTATGTTTTTAATCCAAAATGACTGGTGTCGCTATAAGAAGGTAGACACTGGGAGAGGACTGTCTTGTGACAACTGAAGCAGAGATCAGAGCAATGCATCTACAAGCGGAAGAATAGCAAGGACTGCCAGAAATCACTGGAAGCTAGAAACGAGATGGAAGGATTCACCCCTACAGGCTTCAAAGGAAGCATGATCCTGTTGATGCTTTGATTTTGATAACTCTCATAGAGTTAATTTATTGTTTTCAGCCACCCAGCTTGTGGTGTTTTGTTGCAGCAGGCCTAGAAAACATACTCACTTATTTTGACATGAAAACCTGTATGCAGGCATTTATGGCAGCTTTATACATGACCTCCAAAAACTGGAATTGACTCAAATGTCCTTCAAGAGGTGAATGGATTTTAAAAAAATAAACAAACAAAAATAAACAAAGCCTGTGGTACCTAAACTAAAAAGATACGACAAAGGAAAGGAGGGTGATAAAATTGTTCTGCGTCATTACGTGATGGCAGACACATGACTATTCATTTGTCCAAGTTCACAGAATTCTTCATGATACAGAGTAAAATACTAATTAGTGTAAACTCTGGCAAAAAATCAAACAGAACTTTGGAGATATTCCTAAAATGAAGGCAAACTCTACTGCAAGTGTACTTTATTATATTATAGACAAATAACATAATCAAATGGAGAGGAATTAGGAAAATACAACCTAAGTAATTTTGGAAGAGGGTATTTCAATTCAAAATATAGAGACCAAAAAAATTGCTGTTCAGAAGAAATGTACTCTACATACTGAGTATATTTTTTTACGTGGTTACTATTTAGGGATTGCAGTGTTACTCTGCGTGTATATTGGAATTGAACACATAAGTAAATATATTGTAGATAAGAAGAGTAAGATTCATTATTGTCAAAGGAAATGGTTACAAATAAAAAAATGAGAAAAGTTACATGAAGGTGTGGCACTGGATTAAAATCTGAGGTATGATACACTAATGCCTTCTTAGTATATATACAGACAGAAGGAATTATATGGAAATAAATATAGATGTGTTTGTATGCATGAGTATACATACATATATTTCCTGTTGATGTCTGGTCAAAGCACCTAAATACAATGAAACTCAAGAAGCAATGGAAACTCTTAATACCTAGATCTTGCTTTCTAATGCTGCTCTCCAATCAAAGATACTGCAACTCATCTGATAACTAGAATCCAGAGCTATTGTAAGGAAAAGACAAGATTATCCTGGAGCATCTTGTGGCTCCAGAAAGAAAGTATTCAAAAATGTTAACACTACTCATCTATGGATACTGAAAATTAGTGGATAAATGTTTGAGGAGAAACCAGAACTTTTTAAAATAGTTTCCTGAGATCTTTATGAATTACAAAAGAAAAAAATAGCAACTTACCCCAGAGAAACGGGGTCATCATCACCTAATCGAGTGCTCAATGTTAATATCGCCATTCATGAGATATGATGAACGTCATGTTCCCCTGATATGATAGCCTGAGAAAGTATATCATGTCTGTGTTATTCCTGCCAAAAATATGTAACCTTAGTCTAATCATGAGAAAGCATCAGACAAACCGAGAGACACTCTATCAAATAATTGACCAATACTCTTCAATAGCATCAAGGTCTTGAGAGACAAGAACATCGAGGAATTGTGGAGGAGACTAAGGACACAGGAAAATGAAAGACAATATTGGATTCTAGATTACATTGTGAAAGAAAAAGAATAAGAGTGGAAAAAACTGTGAAATCCAACTGTAGTTTGTAGTTTGATTAATTACATTATAGCGATTAATTTATTAATACGAGTAAAGTTTTATATAAGATTTTAACATTAGAAAAAGCTGAGTGAAGAGCATGTAGAAATCCTGTGTGCTATTTTTGCAATATTTCTGTAAGTCCAAAATTATTTTAAAATGTTTTTAATTGAATTAGTGGGAAAATTCCAAATTTTTAATTTTGCTGAGGTGATGATGGAACATATCTAAGTAAGGCAGCTGTTTACATATTTATGAATTTTCTGATGTTTGTCTCCCTAGTTTTAAAAATGGAAAAAATATGTATGTATTTTACATATGTGTAAAATTTAACTAAAATTTACCTCAAAGCCAAACAAATTTTGTCCAGTGAAGGTGGAGTGGGGGAGAAAAATTTACATAACGAGAATTTGTGTTTCTAAAAATGGTTAAGAAAAATGATACATATTACACATCATTGCTTATATCACATCCTAGAAGGCTACATATATTTTTATTTCTGTTTTAATTAATTAATGAGACCTGAACCAATTATTGTTTATGTGGCTCTTCTTCCTAAATTCTAATAGTTGCGCATTAAACTATTAAAGACTATAACATCCTATCAAACTTTAAATGGGCTTTATGTGCAATGACATTTTACAGAAATAGGATTAGATGTTTAATTCAAAATAACAACTGTTAAAACACTGTATAATTTTGTCAACAAATCTATTATGTGTGAAATGCAACCACTTCAGGATATTTAGGGAAAATACTTATAAATAGTTTAAATGGGGGTACAGTTAAAACTGAACTCCTCTAAACCTTAATTATTTGTAATTTCTATTGAATCCTTATCTGAATACCAATCTACAAAGTAGTATAATGTTTTTGGAAACTTTTGAACTCAAAATTAAAATATTCTCATCTTTGCCGTATAATTATGGCAAACTTCATTGATATCTCATCAAAGTCTTCAGGAATATACATGCAATGATAAACCATTATTGAACCCTAGTTATTATTACTCTTTAATTTTTATTATTAATTATTTCCATGTAGATGAGATACGCTGAGTATTTCAAAGTCTTCTTTCATTGTGGAGGTGGAGGTCATTTTTCAGTTTTTTTTTTTTTTTTAATGGGAGAACTTTGTAACTTGGCTTTCTTCGATGCACAATCAATCTAAAAGCACATTAGAACTACTATATTTTACTTTTGTTTTACATGTGTATATATATAAAACATATATAATATGAAAAATATATAATATATAATAAATACATATGATGTAATATATCACGTATACATAGATATATAATATCATATATAATAAAACATGTGTATTGTATATTACATATATGTTACATATGTTATAAAATATGTAATGTGTTATAAAATGTAAAATATGTCATATATAATGTATTGTATATATGTTTTACATTATATATATATATATATATATAAAAAAATCTTTTGGATTCCTGATTCCAGATTCCAGATTTCAGAAGTCTTTCAGATTTCCCAAAAGAATTAAAAGTCTATCTACTATATAGACTTTACCCTTTATCAAATTTACTTTTTAAACAAACAAAAACATTTCTTAAATATCAAGTCAAGTAATTGTAGTAAAATGAACAGATTCGCAAGCAACACCTGTGACGTAGGAAAGAGATCAATACTAGTGTAGGCTGAAGATGTATTTTAATTTATTTCATAGAAAAAAAAATCACAATCATTAATTTTTACCCCACTTATTTGCATTTCTCTTCATTTCCCAAATGGCTTTTGACATTATTTTAAAGTCATTAATCTATTAACATTCTTTTTTGACATGAGAATGAGTGACATGTGTTTACAGTTAGCATCCATCAGTTGAAATCTAAAGTCAGGTTACATTTTTTTTTTTCTATCTCCACTGAGTTGATCTTAAATACAGGAATAAACTATTTTAAAAGTTGTTCAGTATTATATATTGGCTATGTAGGGCATGCACTGAATAAGACATCTTATTGCTTAAAGACTATTATGTAACATTGTTATGTAGACAGAATAAAAACATTAAAGTATACTTTCTTTTTGGTTCAGGTATTCTATTACTAGGAGCAACGTGTTCAATATCGATGATAATGGTACAATCACTACAACTAACTCACTGGATCGGGAAATCAGTGCTTGGTACAACCTAAGTATTACAGCCACAGAAAAATGTAAGTACTCATTTGAAATCCAATACAGTTGTTTGCATATTTCGTAAATAATTACACAATTTCTATACATGGAGACAAGGCTGCCTTAAAATTCTGCTGAAATTATTTAAATGACATTCAATGTAAATGTGTGTACTTGTGTATTTTATTAGTTTTATTAACATCTGCTTATTACTACTATTCCAGCTTATTTATATGCTTATCACTAAATACCTTCTAAACTGTTGTTTTCTAATTATAACAGTAAATAGTTTTTCATACAAGCGTAAATTGAGGAAACCACAAAATATGAGTGAAATTCACCTGAAATTCTGCTTGTTTATTTAGGCAGATGGTTTCGTTTTCGGTTTGTAAATTATTCTGATTTACCACTTAGATATTGTCCTTAAAATTATGAATCAGTGATTCATGCAATTATATTGTTTAAAGCTTAAAGAAATAAATATAACACAATATAAAATATCAAAGTCATTTCCATTACTTAATCAATAGATTTAAAATTGTAAAGTATTAAAATTGTGAACAGAAAATATTCTCAGATGCATCTTTTCTTATAGCTGATTTTACATAGAATTTTAATGATCGTGGTTCCTTTCTTCACTCTTTGTTGAGGCGGGAAGCATATATTTCTGTTTTCCTTACTTTGTTAGGCAGATGGCAGGTGATATGGTGGAGTGGAAGGCATCTCTGCGTGTTTTTTGCGATACAATGAACAGTTCTATGGAAACACTGTAGGAGAGCTGGAATCTGGGTTTTCAAGGTTCCATTTAACTAAACCATAAAAGGAAGCAAATGTTACAATGGAATAAATGCCCGCTGCACTAGAGGAAATGTCAAGGCTTCTCATGTCAGAAAACGCAAAGATGTTTATTTTAAATGCAGCTGTTATTCATCGCTTATTTCTGAGAACAATTTTTTTTTTCATTTTAAGGAAAAACTTGTTGGAACGAGAGTTTATAACACTGGATAACAAATTTTCATTTTTTTTCTTTCTCTAATATTTTTAAGTTCTACATCATTAAGCCCATTTTAGATCTATTTGGGGAAAATATGTGTAACTGCCATTTTTTTACTACCATGAAATCAATACTGAACCAAAAATAATTAGGCTTGACCATTTAAGCTTCAATAGCAATATAAACAAACCACCTAACCAGTGGAAAACAGGGCATTACATACAACTGTTTTACAAATCACCTGGCTGCATCTGCTAACTCCCTTGAAAAGCGTTCACCATAACAATTATACTGATTATAGAAAAGAGATGTTCCATTTGAACATTTTTTTTTTTTCCCAGCAAATGATGTTTGTTGTGCTTAGTCTCTTTTCTGGAAAGCTTCCCCGATTAAGCACAATGCTATTTATCAGTATGCCAGCTAAGTGAATAAAACTACTAAATATTTTAAAGTGAAGCTGTGAAGTTTTATATTCATTTTGTACAGTAATACCAAAGATTTAATTTGAACTTAATTTCAAGCAAAGTTTAGGAACACAAACATAAAAACATTAAATGAATTTCTTATTAATTTTCTGTCAGTTTATTCACAACTGAATTATGTTATACAATTTAATTACTTAAGCAAAAAGATATTCTGTGATGATGTATGTGCTAAAACCATAACAAATATGAACCTTAATTTTCTGATTAATTTCTTCTTGAAATCTTTAGAAATATCTTTTCATTTTTAAATGTTCCATTAATCTATTTTCATCCTAAATGTCACACAGTAGAGAAAAGTCTCAAAATGATAAATACTAATGGTTGCTGTATTTCTTAAAGTCCGTGTGTGTGTGTATGTATGTAATAAATCCTAGAAATTTTAATTTTTAATTAATTGAAAATTACAATTTTTATCTTAATTGTAACTGTTATTGTTGGGAAAATACAAATACAAGCAAAATCTCATCTCAGGCCAGAAAACCTCTCCTCAAAGGTAGAACAGAGATAAACATTTTATTACTGGAAAACATTAAAACGCAATGTGATGTGCATCATAGGAAATCTAAGAGATTGCCAAAATGGAAAGAAATCTCACCTTTTTAAGTAGTTGAGCAGATACAATCCATTATATACATGTTCTCAAGTTAAACGTTATCCAGACGTTCAAGTATGAGGACTTAGCACTATTTGTGACATCGAATTCATTCTATCTTCACTGAGTAGTTGGAGTGACCGCCCGTGTTTGCTAAGTGGTTTTATCCAAAGGACAACTTAACTTTTCATGTCTTTATGACAAGAGGTAGTTCTGCAACTTAGAACAAGATCGTTGCTAAAATGGGTCTCCTATCCTTCCACAAAAACTAGGATATAGGGATGCCATATTCCTTGAAGATTACATTTCAAAGAGATGGTCACCATTACTTGAGAAATACAATCCTGGATCCTAAAGCTTCCAGGAAACTTACTGAACTTTTGAAAGATTTCCATACACTTCAAAAAGACAAAGAAAAAACTTACATACAAAGCTTTTCTTCCCCCCTCTCTTTCTCTTTCTCTCTCTCGCTCTCTCTCTCTGTGTGTGTGTGTGTGTGTGTGTGTGTGTGTGTGTGTGTGTGTGTATGTTTTGAGCAAAGGAAGTAAAGAAAAAAGATTTCTCTTGCTTTCAACAAGAACCAGGCCTCTAATTTTTAATTTGTATTGTTCTTTCAAATTATCGTTACAAATAGTACCTGTATTTTCAGTAAAAACACTAAGACAAACTAAAGAATACCACCCCTATACCCTGTAATTATATCCACCTTTCCCATAGCTTTCTTTTTTTTTTTTTTTTAAGAAAAAGAGAAGCCCTGTGTGATGACTTACGCCTATAATTCCACCACTTTAGGAGGCCAAGGTGGGTGGATAACCTGAAGTCAGGAGTTCACGACCACCGTGGCCAACATGGCAAAACCCTGTCTCTACTAAAAATACAAAAATTAGCCAGTCCTGGTGGCATGTGCCTGTAGTTTCAGCTACTAGGGAGTCTGAGGCAGGACAATCGCTTAAGCCTAGGAGGCAGAGGTTGCAGTGAGCTGAGATCCTGCCACTGCACAACAGCCTGAGAGAGAGAAAGATTAACAACAATAAAACTACACAATATAATAGCTGCAACTTACTTTTTTCAGTACACAAAATACATGTCTGGTTAGTAGATACAACAAAACAATCCTATTTAATATTCATTGTTCAGTTATGTCCTAAGTAGTCTTAATTGCTTTATGTATATTAACCAATTTATGTAATTGCTTCATGTAATTTATGTAGTTGCTTTATGTATATGTTTAATCTTAACAGCCTATAAGGCAGTTACTACTATCACGCCTATTTTTCAGAATGCCAACTGAGGCATTCTGGTTAAGTATTTTTCTCAAATTGGGAACCAAGATTCAAACTCAAGTCATCCAGTTTTAAGCTCACAATAAAAATGTGTTACATTGACTCACTCTTTTATCTGGCACAGGGTTTCACTCTGTAGCCCAGGCTGGAGTGCAGTAGCCCGATCACAGTTCACTGCTGCCACAACCCCCTGCTCACGCGATTCTCCCACCTCAGCCTCCCAAGTAGCTGAGACTGCAATGTACACTACCACACTCAGCTAGTATTTTGAATTTTTATTAGAGACGAGGTCTCATTATATTGCTCAGGCTGCTCTAGAACTCCTGAGTTCAAGTTATCCTCCTGTCTTGGCCTTCCAAAGCGCTGGGATTTAGAGGTGTGAGTCACCATGCCTGGTCAGACTAACACATTTTTAATAAATCCACATAATGTCATAGTTCAGCTGTAATTTATTCTCCCCGATTCTTTTTTGTTGTACATTTGAGTCATTTGTATAATTTGGATGTGATGCAAATAACTCTGGAATGTATTTAAGTGGATCATTTACTCAAATACTGATACCTTAGACTGTAGCTTAAGTTTAACAGATTGGGTCACAGATATGTGTAGTTTAAATTTCATTATCGATTGCTAGAGTCAGTTTACACTGTTATTTTTCAGCCCTCGTCATCACTGGGTGCTGTTTTATCACATATGACACAAATGGCACGGGCTAAACCATCCTTCTTCTTACCTGTGGTAAGAGGCTGTGTGAAGATAATGATAGTGCAACGTGTCTCAACTGCAGGCCATTTGGCTCAACACTTCTGCCGCCAGCTTCAACCAGGGCACACTGACAATGTCTGAACAGTCTGGATTGACACACTGGGGTAGAAGGGATACTGCAGACATTTGGGGAATAGAAGTCATGGATGCTGCTAAGCATCCTACAATGCACAGGAGAATCCCCCAAAACTAGGAATTATCCAGTCTAAAATATTAATAGTGATGGCAGTGAGAAAGTCTGCTATCAGATAAATTGAATTTTCTCTCCTGTAAATTCCTAGTTCATACTTTTTTCTGAAATGTCTTTTTTTAATATCAAATTGAAGGATTTAAATGTTTTAACCACAATTTTTTCTCATTATGTTTTTTGGATTTTTTGGCTCACTTAGAAAATCTTCTCAATTCAATGTTTATATAAAAACTTTATTTAGTTTTTTTATAACGATTTTACTTTAAAATATATTTAGATTCTAATTATTTGTTTTTAAAAGCTACACTCTAAATTTCAGTGGTTCACAGAATTGATTGTTATTTTTGTTATAGCACTGCAGCTATAATCTTACACAAGTAATTTAACTGTAATTTTTGAAACTAAATGGTTTATCCACTTTTTTATCAGTAAAATTGGGGAGGATAATAATCCATTTATTGATCAAGATTAAATGAGTTAATACAAAACTTTAAATGGTTCCTGGACTCTTGCAAGCTCTCCATATACCCTTATTTTACTTTACCTTTTTACTACTTTTTCTCATCACTTATTACAGCCCATGGCAAGCACAATGCACCCAATAAATATTGCTTGGTTTGAATATATTAGCACAGAATTTTTTTCTAGGATCTATTGCTGATAAATAGGTGAATCATATAGATATCCTGTCCTCAGATTGCTTTTTTCAAGTAAAATAAAAATGTACCATATAGCTTCTAATGTAATTTTAATGATGTATCTTCTAAAGACATATTAAAATGTTAGATTTTTATTATATATATTCAAATTGCAGACAATATAGAGCAGATCTCTTCGATCCCAGTGTATGTGCAAGTTCTTAATATCAATGATCATGCTCCTGAGTTCTCTCAAAACTATGAGAGTTATGTTTGTGAAAATGCAGGCTCTGGTCAGGTAAGGACTCATTATAAATTACAAAGTCTAAACTATATATCATTGTTTCATAATATGTAATTATTTCATATATTATACAATATTGTTATATAATACATATCATTAACATCTTTAATATTCATGTATTATAATTTATATAATTATTGTAATTCTATAATATTACATATACAAATTATATATAAATTAATTTTTATAATATATAATTTTTGTTATGCATTCATCTTATTTTAAAACATCAGAAATTAATTTTATTCTATTTATATTAATTACATGCTTTTATGTTGTGAGCTTTGTATAATATTTTATTTTAATTTTTAAAAACATGCAAATTTCAAGTTTTCTACTTTCAAATTCCTCAAATGTTTTTAAAAATCTGCTAACGATAGTGATTCAGTAGTTTACTTTTATAGTATATTTATTATTCAGTAGTTCATTTATACTTTGTCAAACAATTAAGAAAAAAATTCTATAGGTTACATAGTCACATTTAAGTTTCTTTTCATTTTTTTATTCATCATGCAGGTACAGGTAAAATGAAATATAAGCATAAACATATGGAGGGAAAATATGCCAAAATGTTTTTTCATAGCATTTAATCACTATACCAGGTATAGCAACACAAATAAAACTGAGTCTTATACAAATTACTAGATATGTAAACATTTATGAGAACATACTCATTTTGAAATACATTATCATTACTTCACAATTTATTTCTTTCACACACTTTCTTATCTGCTGCTCACTGTTTTATTTGTAAAATGTGAAATTTAAATTAGAATGTTATTTGTGTACTTCTAAGCTCCAGTACATAATAAACTAACATAATTATGAGGTTTCTTAGAGCACATAGAAGACTATTAAATACCACAGGCTGTTTTTCTTTAAAAAATGTCCAATAATGTTCAAAAATTTTACAGTCTAGTGTTCATGATACTAAATAGGTATACAGACACTATCAACTCAGTTATTCTAAGTAGCTTTGAATTTATCAACAAAGCTAGTCAGGGACCATTTGGAGTTTACAAAAGCAGAAATTATATTTCTCTTTCAATAAATGTTAGTAACCAAAGTTATATTTGATCTTCAATATCCTACTATGCTGAGGAATAGGCATATCTTAAGAGATAGGTACATCTTAACTTTTACTGATTATTAAACTGCAACATAGTGAAAATTGTCAGTATTTCTTGAAATGATTGTGAATTTCATTAAGCTATGTGTGTTTTTGAATATGATTTCACTGGAAATAGTGATCAAATCTTGCCTATAAATATTTTCCAAAATGTTTTTGAAAGCAGTAATAAAATTGTTAAAAATATACAAATGACTTTAAAAATTTAAAGCACTCATTTCTAATGGGTTAGAACCCAAGGATTTGGGGACAGTAAAAGGTGGATATAAAAACTTCAGAGGCTCTCCATTGTGTTGCACTTTCCCTAGAACTAAAATTGAACTGTTTTAGAAATGTATGGACATACAGTATAGGGTAGAAGAGATCACAAAAACAGAATGAACGTGAACTTGGACCCATGGCTCCTCCAGAAATTCGGCTTAGACATTTTTCTTCAAACCTGGTGCTATAAGTAGATTATATATTTAGAAATTGGATGTATCTAATATTCTCAAGAATTTCAAACACATCTGGTTACTTAGACACATTGACCAATATAACAAGCAACTTTAAAATAATAACATGTAAATCTAATAAATGATACTTTAAATGTGGCATGCCAGTTTTCTTAAAATACAAATAATTTTTGACATGATGAATTTTATAATTTTCTAATAAATGTATA